TCCTAATGCCTATAGGCAAAAATGTATAGTGATTTCGCCTACCCTCACCACCGTCCAAGTTTCATCGCGCGATCACGATTGTTCGGTAGTATTTTATTTTTAATTTTTTTTATACATCGGAATGACCTGAAATTTGGAGGGTATATACATCTTACTGAGGCGCTTCTAATAAAAATAATTATCCGTAAAAACAAAATTGATCAAAATACCCCCAAAAGGTTTAAGGGGTATTTTGGTCAATATTTTAATGTAAAATATTTTTTTATATTTTTTGAAGATTTCCCTATTTTTGATGAATACACCCTTCAAATTTTAGATCATTTCAATTTGTTAAAAAAAATTGAAAAATGAAACACTACCAGACAATCGTGGCCATGGGATGAACTTTGGACGGTAATAGGGGTAGGAGAAATCGCTGTTCGTTTTTGCCTATAGGCGTTGCATAGTATTTTCCTATATATATATACATATACACCCTCAAAATTTCAGGTCATTCCGATTTGTAGAAAAAAAATGAAAAATGAAACACTACCGGATAATAGTGACCGCGCGATGAAATTTGGATGGTGATGAAGTTAGGAAAAATCACTATTCATTTTCGCCTATAGGGGTTAGGAAGATTTTTTCATATATATATATATATATATATATATATGAACTATGGTCCACTATCCAAAATCCAAGGCTTTTCTTGAAGTTTCTTCTCTCACTCATCAATTAAACTCTCTCTCTCAATCCAACCTATTTTACTTTTAATTGATATTTTATCCAAAAAAATAAAATCTAAAAAATTAATAAAAAAATAAATAATCTCTAGATCTCGACCTTAAGATTTTACATCTTGCCTATATCTTTTATAGATAATCAAACGCAAATACTCAGAACTTCCTAATCTTCCAACACGGTATCAAACACAGGTACTTGAACTTATTTAACATTCCAGTAGATTATCAAATACGGAAACCTGTAACTTCTTTAACTTAGAGGCTAGTTTTACAATGAAAATACAATCAAATTAGAACAAAGACTCAAACCAACATGCTAACATTTAGTTCACAACAAGTATAACTCTACCAAATGTATTTTCGGGAGATAGCAACCATGTTTCATAAGATCTCTAGGGTGGTAAGAACATTCTAACCTCAAACGAAGACTGCAAAGGCCATGATAGTGAAAACCAAAGGAAATACAGTAAGTCCATACACACTGAGAAATACAATTTAAATCAAACACTTAGAACCCCTCTAGAAGCAGCAATCACAATGATGGACGTTGGAAAATATTCATGTTCAAACTTAACTATAATGTTTCGACACGCCACAATCACATAGGTACTTAGAACTTACTTAAAGTGTGGTTAATAAAAATGGTAGCTTCCATTGCCACCTCTTAAAGTTCGACCCATCTAATGACTTGATGGTTCACCTATATATTGGCTTATATTAATTGAATATTAGGTGAAATGGGGCCGAAAATAAAGATCACAAATAATTCACTAACAATTTTCCCATAAGTGTCACTATTACAAAATAATATTTGCCTCTTACTAATACAAACCAATGTGCATCTAACTTTTTCAGACAATTTTTTCTTTAGGATCTAATGAAACAAAATATTGAACACCATCTTGCCTAACACAAGCAGCCAAAGTGACTATGGCCGCCATGTCTCTTGATGGAGATGCCAAGCCCGTACATTCAGAATGGTCGATGCTCGATCAAAACGTGGGACGAGTGAAAAGCAGAGTTGAAGGCTCAATTCCTACCTGGCAATGAGTCATCCCTTGGGGTTGGGGAACATGATAGATATGGCAATCTACGGTACATATGATATAGAATGATAGAAAGAGATAAGTATGATATTACGAAATTCTAAAAGCAAACAAAAGGAAAAAAAAACCTGAAAAGGCTTTTTTTTGAGATCCCCATTTGTCCCACTCTCTCTAGGCGACTACTCTTCTTTAAAAAAGGCTAGCAAACTTACCACTAGTGAGCATAGATAGGGCGAAACAATATTCTTGTGACTTGAAAGGGCTTTCTACAAGGATTCCTGGGATATGGGGGATGCATAGTACAATAAGATTCTATAGCACCAAAGTTGCTTTTGTTCTAGATTTGCACAATAAGAGAGGCGTTCTGTGAACAAGATCAAATTATGTGCAAAACCATATATCAAAAGAGAAGTTCAATCCCATATATTGAGAGATAAAATGCCTTTTCATTTTTACCCATTGCGACCATTCAATACAATTAAAAGATGAAGATTTATCTCTTTGTTCTTGACTTTTAACAGCCATAAATGGCCCATTAGTTACAACCTGCAACTGGTGGAAGTAGCTCTATGTGGTAAATTATTGCCGGAAATAGTACAATAAGATTTTCAAGCATCAAAGTTGTATTTTTTTTTTTTCTCCTGTAGAGAGGGTTTGCCCAGAAGAGAGGGGGTCTGTGAACAAGATCTAAGTGTGTGCAAAACTATATATCGAAAGAGAAGTTCAATCCCATATATTGAGAGATAAAAGGCCACTTCATTTTCACCCAACGTGACTATTCGGTACAATTTAAAGTTGAAGATTTATGTCTCTTTGTTGTGACTTTAACATCCATAAATGGCCCATTAATTACAACGTGCAACCACATAGTTACACTGGTTCATGGTGGCTTTTTTGGGTTAATGAAAAGGAACCACTGCACCCAAAATTGCAGCTAAACTATTCATCCTGTTGGAAGCAGTTCTACGTGCATTTTGCCACTTGTTTGCACAACCAAACGAACACTTAGCGCATTGGTGGGAATTCCCACCGCGGCAAATTACCGAAGAGGCTCCTCTTCCTGCCGAGCGACTTCCCTTCTCAACACTAGGTGCTCAACATTGCAAAGTTGCATGTCATGTGCCTTTGTTCCCATGCACATGTGCTTACAAGGTGCACGCTTCGTGTTTTCCGCATAGGCATTCTATCTCCTTGGTTCTTAGAATATATTGGAATAAGGTATTTGGCATTGCTATATATATGCATGAATTTCGATTATCCATTCTTCGATATGAGACAATAAACCTACTGCTTTTCTGTAAAACAACATAAAATAAACTTTTCCAAATATTAGATTAGTTATACCATGCAAAATAAACATAGCAAGGCCAAAATGATAAGGCCACAGTAGTTATACTATACAAAAGTAGTTATACCATGCAAAACTGATTAATGGCATTTGGTGCACAAGAGAATTGGCAATAAATTTCAAATATTAAGGGCACGTTTTTCACTTGAAAATATTTCTCAAAAAATATATCACAAGAAAATATTTCTTCATGTAGTTAGGGAAAAGAATATTTCCATGCCAATTAGCTGCTAGTTGGTAATGCACAAGGACCAATTGGTGTGAAAATATGTTCATGTTTAACTATATGAGAGAAAATATTTTCATGTTTAACTATATGAGAGAATTCTTTCACGTAAAAATATTTCTTAAAAAATATTTTCAAATGACACAAACAAATTATAACATTGTAGAAACTTTGAAAATAAAAAAATAAAAAATAAAAAAAAAAAAATGGAGGATTAACACTACATATCTACGTAGTTTGGGAACAACAAACACTTACCTCGGCAGCGTTAATCTCCCCAACCTATCATCTAAAAGCGTACGGTTTGTATAGAGCCGAGGCTCTAAACAATCAAAATAAAACACAGGTTTAAATAGTATCGAGACATGTGGTCTCAATATTGAAAATCTCTGTGATGGCCTTAAAATATATTTTCATCTTTAATTATAAAATTTAAAGCTTAAAAAGTAGTTTAGATTGAACATATCTATGAAAGCTTGAGAATTGACGGTCAAAAAATGCGTTACAAGATGCACTATTTTCAAAACTTGAAATCCATTTTTTTTCCCCATGTCCATCCATATTCATGTTGAGATTATCAATTTGATGATATTTAAGCATCAAAATAACCTCTTCTAGTAGAATTTTAGATGTGGGCTCTAATTTGATTATTTAGACCCTATGCTCTATATCAACTTTAACCCAATTTAAAATGGACAATGGATAATCATCGTACACTTCGCATCCATATGTTTATGGTACACTTTTCCCTCACTAAAGGGCACGAAAAATATCTTTTGTCTTTAGTTTTTTTAGGAAAAAGCCAAACGCCGATTCAACCGTCTCAACCACGTACCCCACTTACCTAACCTACCAATCAATAAACACTCACAACTCTCTAAACGAGTGTCTTCCCTCAACGGCTATGAGTCATCCTTCTTTCCCAACGGTCACAATCTCAGTCTCTCCTCATGGCTTTGAAATTGGGCTCGTAATGGGCTCGACCTAGTTTTCCTTGCCTTGAAAAAGTCGGTTCTGGGTGACAACCTATAACCTGAGGGTTGAGTTAGGGCCAATGTCAACCCCGCTCGTCATGATCTATGTCAAAAATTGAAAAGAATAATGATACTATAAAACCGTCCCACACCCATGTGGGTAAGACATCAAATGATCACTATTAAATTTTGATATAAATCTCTATAAAAACTTATCACATAAGTATGAGACTTGAATAAATAGATTTATTAATAACTTCTTTTAGTAAGGAAACATTGTATTTACATGGAACACTTATGAACGCTTTACGCCTGGCATGTGTAAAAATGCGTACCAGCCCACATAAAACAATTTTCCTTCGTTTCAGGTTATTCTCCTCGTATTTGTTTTGTACGCGTCTGGACAAGAACGCGCAGCCCGATGCAAACCTTTAGTTTGAAAACTTCTCTTACTGCCCTCCACTCGCTCAAGGCGCGTGTCTCTCTCTCAGATTGACTGTTGAGGAAAAAAAAAAGCCCGAAAAAAAAAAAAAAAACTATTCTGCTTATTACTCTGCTGCTCTATTTTTGTTTCATGCCACCAGTTGCTGCCCCCTTCTCCGTCTCCTTTCTTTGATTTTTAGTATTATTATTATTATTATTATGTATTGGTGAGATAGCAATGATTATATATCTATATATGGCTTGCATTGCAGGTTTGCAGCAACATCATTTTAATTTAATTCTGGTTGATCACATCTCTCCATTCTAGATGCATCTGAGTGTTTAGGATTTGATAAAGGATATTATTGGGTGTTTTTCTAGAGAGAAAGATGAATTGTTCCTGAATTGCAGAGTGTTGGGTAATATCCTATTCTTATGGATCTATTTGTGTCTGTAAAATATTGAAATCCTCTTACTCTTAGTAAAAATAATAAGGAAATGATGGATGTTTGATAACTTGCTCCTTGTCAGAGAGAGGGATTGGAATGCCAAAAATAACTTAAGCGGCTTTCACGCCTTCCTTGCATTTCATTGGTAGGTTTTAATCGCCCTCCCCATTTTTAGGGTTTCTGTTCAGACATGATGACATGGTTGTAGAGCGAGAGAGCAGTAATGGAAACAGTTTCCTCGTTGTAGAAGATTATTATTGTTGCTGTGCTTTTGTTTTGGATTGTACAAGATCATTGTTGCTGTTTTTTTTGTTGTGGAGATCATGGAAATGTTTTAGAGAGAGAGAGGATGGAAGGTGTGGGAGAATTTATTTGGGGTGTTGGTGAGGAAGGGTTTAGAGAGAGAGGATGAAGCCATTTGCTCTTTTAGGAACTCAATTTTTCTGGGTTTTTTCATGAGAGATCATAGGTAAGCTTCAGTGAGAGAATGGAAGTCATTTGATGCTCCTTGTGGAAGAAAAATTGATCTATTTGGTTTAGGTTCATATTTTAGAGGAGGACAATAAGCAGCCATTTTTTTGATTGGTTTAAGGTTGAGAGCTCATATGGGAAGAAGATCTTCGAGAGAAAATCTTACCCATTCTGAATTTCTGATTTAGTAATAGGAGGGAGCTTGAGATCCCACATTCCTCTACAATGGCATCTTCAGAAAAAACAGGAGGCTCCTCCTCCACCTGTGTATCCTCATCACAGGCCCACGCGGCTCTGAGGCAGGGTCTGAAAGAACTGGTAAGAGGGCACCTCCACGAAACCTGCATAACCACCACGACCTTCAGCAACTCTGAAAATCTTGAAATTCCCTTGGATGGATCCCATTCCAGAAAAAGGAACCGCCACCACCGTCTCAAGGCAGCATGGGACTCAAACGAGGGCTGGGTTAGTGAGTCGGAGGATGACTCATCCACAAACAGTCCCCACAACCTCAATTACAATCAGAATCACAATCGCAATCGCAATGAGAATCAGGAGGAGAAATATGTGCCATCTTCGTCGCCTGTGAGCCGTCGTCAGTCTCGTTTGCTAGACAGATGGGCCGCACGTCAGGCACGGGAGATGATCACAACGATCGAGCGGCAAGCCCTAGAATCTGAGCTCACTGCTCTCTCCGGTACCAACAGCGTCTCCTCAAGGGCATCCTCCTTCCTGAGGGAGTCTTCCCCTGCTCAATCGGAGTGCTCCTCTGTGGTTGAGCCCCCAAATTTACGAGCGTCTTCTCTCGTGCAAATGTGGAGGGAGCTTGAGGCCGAGGCCAGGGCCAACCAGAGCCCACGGACCCACAGGAGGAGTGAGCCTTCTAATCCTTCTTCTCCTCGGTATGGATATGGCCACTTTTGGCCCCAACAAGGACGGGGTGTTGAGAATCAGGCATTAAGCTCTGATGACGCATTTGGAGAATGGGAATCTGATGTTGGGGCATCGAGCAATGAGCCCGACACTTCATCAATGTTCATTTTGGAGGAGTCAGGGGAGAGTGAGAAAGGGGGAAGGAGGAGGGTGGCAGATATAATTCAGAGGCTCTCGAGCTTCAATGATCGAGAACAGTGTTCAAGGGAGGTTTCTGTAGAGTGGAGCATGTGCTTGACAGATCATCAAGAGGGTGTGAATGTTGGATTTCACCAACCAGAAGGTGGGGTTCAGATGCGATGGGGAGAGCGGGGAGGTGAGGGTGAATTGAGGGGTGGGGAGAATGTGGTGGGGCAGTTGGGGTTTGGGCGGAGCAACCCTCCTCGGATTCGTGGGAGGCAGGCTACTGTGGATCTGCTCATGAGATTGGTAAGGGAGAGACAGAGAGAGCTCACTGGGCTGTTGGAAAGACGCCCAGTCTCTGGATTTTCTCATCGCAATCGCATTCAAGTGAGTCTCTCTCTCTCTCTCTCTCTCTCTCTCATTTGTGCAGATGTTCTTTTTGTTCCATTTCTTCTGATGACTTTAAAGGCTTAAACTGCATACACGAGAGATAAATTTAAGAGATTTGGCATCTGAATTGGAAGAGGAACGCAATGGATTTTGTCGCAGTTGCATTTCATAAGATTTTCGTGTTAAAATAAAAGGCCTGTGCATTTATGATAGGTCTGATGTTGCTAGTCATGTTATGACATGCAAGACTTCTTTGTCTTTCTTTCTTTACTGTTGGATATTCTTTATACATATATGTTGGGTTTTTTGACCTTCTCTGTCTAAATCTTTTCCAGACGACACTTAAAGGGAGATTTCTTCACCATAGATTGGCAGCTCACGATCAGAGGCCACCTCAGCCACCGGCAGCAGTTGAAATTGAATACTTACAACTTGGGACGAGCATATCTCGCTTAAGGTAGTTTTTCCCTCAAAAATCCTACAGCAGTACACTTTCTTGAGTTTTAGTCGGTTTACGAGAAACAAATCTAGTATTTGATTACTTATTTCCTGCTCATGCTATTGGATCTTATTGAAACACCCTTTTGATTGATCTACGTACTTCAGACTTTCTTATGTTCTCCCTGGACGAATTCGTAGTGTTTAGGTACTTCAAACTATAGGGTGGTAACTGAGAGGGAGCAGCTCTCATGAAAGTCTAGCTTTTTAATTATCCAGGATTCGATCCTTATCAAAAATATCATCCCATTGGAACTGATTGAAATACCTTTCTGATTGAAACTTGCAAAACATCACAAACACCCAAATTCTATCCTCATCACATGTGTATCCCAAAATCATAGTAGTAATAACTACCTGAATTTGATTCATCAAGTTTTTCTATACATGTTGGGAAAGTGCTGTGTGTGATACAACGGAGCACTGATGCATTGACGGTAAGCTTTCTCCTTCCAACACTTATATTATTAGATAGTAAATACAATAAATTTCTAGGTATCTATAGTGAAGAATTATGGTAGTCAGGAGTTCATGACTACTTTTTCCTGTAAGACTCCTTTTTAAATTTATATTACCTAATACAGTGCCTGCATAAGTTTCTGGATATTCAGAGACTAACAAGTTCTTACTGGGCAGAATATCCACTACCTCCCCTATTTGTTTCATTGAAATGGAGTGGATTTGTTTCCTAGATATGTCCCATATGGGGTATTCGCTCCTACGCTCCAGATGGGGAACTCCATGAGATCGTGATTCTTGGATTTTTGGAAACTCAATCCCACGCTTTAAGGACTTCTTACCGCTCAAAGGGGCAATCAGAGGCTAAGAAGATAATTCGTTTGGATCTTACTTGCAATTATTCTCTCATATTCTCTCTTAAGTCCTTTTTGGAGGTTTTAAAGTGTGAAATTGTAAATAAATTATCAATAAGAAATCAGCTCCCTTGTATTGTTATCTGTCATCTGACTTTGCCTCATCATGATGTTTTTATTGCATTTTGTGGGATTATTGTTGCATAAACTACATCTCAAAGGAATATAAATATATTATTTATTCATTAAATAAACTTCAATTGATAATTGTTATCTGGATTTGTCCCATATGGGGTCTTATCAGGATCTTCCAACACATGTGTTCGATTCCGCTTTAGGATTTCACTCCTTCGGTCCAGGATGGGTACCTCCATGATATCATGATTTTTGAATTTTTGGGATCTCGATCCCACTCTTTAAGGATCATTCGTTACCATTCAAAGGGGCAATCAGAGGCTAAGACGATAATTCATTTGGATCTTAATGCAATCATTTTCTCTCATTATCTCTTACGTCTTTTTTGGAGGTTTTAGGGTGTGAAAGTGTAAATAAATTATCAATAAGAAATCAGCTCCCTTGTATTGTTATCAGTTATCTGGATTTGCCTCATCATGATTTTTTATTGCATTTTGTGGGATTATTGTTGCATAAACTACATTTCAAAGGAAGATAAAGACCTCATTTATTCATTAAATAAAATTTAATTAATAATTATTGCCTATTTTTCCATATTTTGTTGGACTATTGGATTTTTGAATTTTTTGTGAAATTTGTAATTTTTATTATATTTTATTTATAAATTAAATAACTGTGTGGCATGCGCTTCTGACTAGATAGCTTCTAGCATGTGGCAATCCCTTGCGCCTACTTCCAATAGCTACGGGTCTTCTATACCTTCTATTTATTCAGGCTAACAATTTAAAAAGTTGTCTTTTTGCTTTGGACCAGGGAGAGATTTGCTCCTGGAGCACCAACTACTGAACGCACGGACCATGTTGCAGACCAATCAAGCAGAAGTAAGAGAGAGCCACCAGATAACAGTAGCAGCAGCAGTAACAACAGCAATAACGACAGCAGCAGCAGCAGCAGCAGCAGCAACATCAGCATCAACAACAATGGCAACAGCAGTAGCAGCAACAACAAGAACGACAACAATAACAACAATGACAACAGGAGCAGCAGCGCCTTTGGCAATAACAACAACAATGAAAACAACAACAATGAGATTACTACTCTGGGATCAATCCATTCTTTGACTTGCCTGGCATCAAGCTCAAACCACCTCCTGGATCCAGAGGTCGCTACAGGAGAGGCTGCTGATGGTATAGCTGCACAGCAACTGCTGCTAACACCAGTGCAGTCCCAAAATGAAGACCTCCAGACTTCGGATTCTTTATTGCGGGAAAGAAGCTTACAAATTAGCGACTCGGAGTGGCAAGGAAACGAGTATGCTGAGACCTTACTGGAATGGCAAGAGGGGGATGTCTCAGAAGAACCTCATGCTGATGATTTGCAGGATCAACAAATTGAAGATGTTGATCAACATCCATGGGAGATGGCTGAGTCCTCTTTCTCACACCAAATTTGGGAAGTTCACTCTCAAAATCTGCATTATGATTGGCCAGAAAACCACTTGCATAATGTGGAATTGCGCGAACTTCAAGAAAGGTATTCATTTGCATGATTTCATCATCAGCTCATATTTCATCATACAAGTGATTTACAGTCCAAACAATAACAGAGGTAGTCTGCCTCATCATAGTTTTGATTTAAATTCTGTGTCATCTCTGTTGTATTTATTTGAGATTCTTGGCCGTTTGTTTATTTAGTGAAACTGTTGTCTGTTTACTTGAAAATGACATGAACTACAAAACAATGCATGCCAAGTTACATTGAACTTACAGCCAAGGTTCATATTACTAAGTCAACTCAAGGGATCAGGAAATCATTTCCAGTGATACAACGAGTGTATGCAAGGGGCCACGTCCTAATCAGCCATATATGCCTTAAAGCGATTATTTCTCTCAATAATTTGACTGTTCTGCTTATTGAATATACTTGATACCCTATAATGCCACAAATTGCCTTGGCCAAAAGAAAAGGATAAACAAAAATATTAGTCCAATCTTGGCAATAATTGCTCGAGGAGTAACCATTAGAAAAGAGCTAAAAAGAAATCTTTAGCAGAAAGGACTGTTCCTTGTGATTACGTGCTTTGCATTAGCTTCTATCCGATTGACATATGTCTTGGATGATCCTACATCAAATGCTTTTAACAGTCTGACACCGAGTCCCTCTATGGTATCCTTTTTTTCTTCATCTCAAGGGCATAGTCTTCCCTTATCAATTTTCCAAAGACAAATTTGACTAGAACTTCACAACTTGTACACTTGATAGTCAGAATTTTCTGTGTTCCTACTTTTGATTGTGTTCTTTCTGAATCAGGAGAAGTGTATCGAATGCTCTTGCTAGTGATTTCCGAGTGACTATGGACCAGTTAATTTTGTCTCACCTGGAAAGGCAAGAGGACGAACCCAACAATGAAAGCATCGAGGACCAGGAACACATTCAGCATCAAAGTGATAGCGACTTCGATCAAATTGCCTCTACATCCTTCTCATTGCCGCTGCCAACTCGGCTCCTCCGGCAGCTAGAAGGCCCATCACATTCTGCATTTACATGTAGTAACCATTCAATTGTGAGTTACAGACATATTAAACTCCTGTGAGGTTATTTACCCTAGAAGCAACTGACTTTATGTTCTAAATTTGTGGAATCTGACTTTTTATTCTAAAATTGTGAACATTTTATTCAATATATTCCAGGAATTGGATCTCATTTACGATTTGAGAGCCGAGATGGCACACCTCCAACATGGGATGCATGAGTTGCAGAAGATGATAGAGAGTTGCATAGAGATGCAAGTAGAGTTGCAACGTTCCGTTAGGCAGGAACTATCTGCTGCTCTCAACCATTCAAGCAAGGC